AAAACATTTAAAATGAGTTTAAAGTTAACATTTTACAGTTTGTAAAATCAAAGTTAGATTCAAGAGTTTGTTATATGTTGGAAATGATTAGCACTTCACAATGCCCTTCGAAGACGATACTAATTGATTGCATGCTATCCTTAAATTTTGATAAAAATGGTCTTAATGTTTAGAAATTAATTCATTTCTTTCATTTGCTTATTTCAAAAGCTAAAATCTTTTTTTTTAATTGAAAGCAAAATCTTTTATTTATTTTTGGAAGCCAAAACAATTTATTTTTAAATATTTACAAAAAAACCCTTAATGAAAATACAAACTTTAATGTATAGACCATATGTGAAAACAAACATATCGCAAACTAAGGCATATTTACAAATATATTACAAACTTAACACATATGTAACATTATAGTAAAAATCAATAAAAAAACTAAGGGTTTTAAAATTTTAAAGATATATTCCACCATTTTTTTGTTTTGAAATTCACACAAACCAACTAAAATCTCCAAAAAATCTACTAATCTAATTTTTTTTGCATTAAAAATTTGATCAAGCAAATAGAAAACTTGAAGAACAATGCGAGAACACAAACAAACATGTGAGAAATAAGTAACATTTGGCCATTATTCAAATGAGAGAGATTTAGCTAAGAATATAAGCTTGGTTGAATGCTCTCATGGCTACCACAATCATTATATCACTTTATTTAATTGAATCATGCATCAAAACTTCATAATACTACAATATAAAGGCATTTTAATCATGAAAGAAAATTTATCAAACATGCAGTAAACTAACCAGTACGAAAACCATGAAAACATACTTATTTAGCTAAACGCTATACACAAACCACTAAACTAATCAATATTCATTCAAGTAACAAGTATAATAGGAACTCAACCATCCATACACATAATCTAAATTAAGGAAAACACATCATAAAAACCAAAAGAAGGTTCGGCTATAGGAGAAGGAAGCTTGGTCGAATCTTTCAATGGATGTTTTAATGGTGGATTTTGATTTCTTTGATCTCTTTGTCTTAAACCAAACTGTGGACCAGTTGATTGAATTTTTGGATCAAATTTGAAGCTATGGATACAATCAACTATAAAATTTCTAAAGAAAATTTGACAAATTAAATGATGAATAACATGAAAACTACAAAAATGGTATGAAACGCAATGAGAAATCTATTAGAAATTATACCTTCACAAAGCTTTTCCAATTTTTTCCTTGCATGCCACTACCTTTCCAGCCACCTTCTTCTTCCTTTCAACCCTACAGGATGAAAAAATATCCTATGCAAAATACATGCAAGCCCTTAGATGTATTTTTCATCTAATGGCCATCATTTCTCCCTTATTTATTTTTGTAAGGAGCCACCTTTTACCATTAGATTTTGCCTCTCAAGATCATCCCACAATTCAAAATGTTCATGGCTAAAGATTGCATTTTTAATGCTGTTAGAACCCGGTGAAAAGACCATTTTACCATTATTACAAAGTTTTCATCTTTTATGCAATTTTCTTGGAAAACAATGTTCCTTTTTTCATTTTTATGATTTTAAAGTATAAAAAATATTAAAATAATATGAAATTAGGATATGAAAGTTTTTGTAAAAAATTGACCTCAGAAAAGTCAAATTACAAAAATACCCTTTAAGGGGCATTATAGTAATTTTACATCTTTCGAGGTATGATCGAGGTTTTAATGCACCAAAAATCATAGAATAATATGAAAATATGATCTAGAGCATTTTGCAAAAATCAACCTAAAAAAAGTCAAATTATAAAAATACTTTTAAGTGTATTTTAGTAATTTCATATATTTCGATGTGCAATCAAGGTTTTTAATAAGTCAAAAATAATAAAATTATATAAAACCATGATGTGGAACATTTCACAAAAAAATCAAGCTCGGGAAGATTAACTTACTAAAATGCCCTTAAGAGCATTTTTATAATTTCACACTTCTCGGTGTGCTATTAGTGTTTTTGATGTATCAAAAATCATGAAATATTAGAAAAACATTATCTAAAAGTTTTTACAAAAAACCAACTTCAAAAAAGTCAAATTACAAAAATATGCTTGAAAGACATTTCGATAATTTTATCCTTCCCGAAGTGTAATCAAAATTTTTAGTACATTAAAATCACAAAATATTAATTCCAAGCCCTATTAATCCCATTTTGTTTTGAATTTTGAAAATTCACCCTAGTTTAATTCCATTTGGCTGATTTTGACCAATTTTGAGCGATTTAACTTTATTTGATTAGATTTAACCAAGTTTGATCATGTGACATTTTGGGTCAAATTGGTCATAAATTGATTTTAAGAACTTGTCAAAATTAAAGCAATGTTAGGTTCGAACTAGGTTAGATTCTAAGAGTTTCACAATTAACCAAATTTTGTCTAGACAAAGTTAGGTATCTATGCTAATGTCCTCACTTAAGTCTCTTGTATTTTAACCATTTTGATGATTAATTTATTAAATAAAAATTGACACCTTCAAAGAGTCAACAAACAAGAAAACCATTATTTTAAAGCTAAATAAAACCACCTCCCATGTGAGCAAAGCCATATATTCTCAAACCTAAAACTTAGTTGATTCATAAAACTACATTTAGGGAGTGTTTAGTTCACGAATTCTTAGATTCCATAAAGGAAAATGATATTGAAGAGAAATGCATGATTCCTAGATTTTGTTGACTTAGGAAATGTAAGATTTTTGTATTTGATTCATAAGAATGTAAGATTACCTAATAAAGTTTTTTACTATATTGTCCTTAATAATACATAACATTCATAATAATAATAATATGTGAATAACATGTTATTTTCATTGAAACTAAATAATTTTGAAAAATAATTTTTTATATTTTCAAAAAAATATAATCTTACAATTTTAATTGCTATACTAACGTTATTATCTATATACAGAGAAAACATGCAGATCGATTTTTATGGCAAAGTTGATGTGAGGGTTGGAATAACCCCTTTCAGAGGTTTTCAAGGGTAAAGACCCAATACAAATTTTATGTGTAATAATATTAAGTAAATATATTTTAGATTTTATATATAATAATATTAAATAAAAATATTTTACATTTTTTTTTTCATATTTTTAACAAAAATTACATTTTTTTATCTTAGAAAAATCATCTTTTCAACAAAATTACGTTTTTATTTTAGAAATGTCACATTTATTGAATTCTAAAAAATATATTTTTTATATTGTCAACAAAATCTACATTTTTATCTTAGAAATATCATTTTTATTAAATTTTTAAAATTATATTTATTTTGTATTTTGAATAAAGGTTGTATTTTCTATCTTAGAAATTTTATCTTTGTTGAATTTTGAAAAATATATTTTTCATGTTTTCAACAAAAATTACGCTTTTATTTTTAAAATATCATCTTTTTAATAAAGGTCGTGTTTTCTATCTTAGAAATGCCTTTTTTTTTGAATTTTAGAAAATATTTTTTTAATATTTACAACAAAAATGGTCTTTTATCTTATCTTTTCAACAAAGACTACGTTTTTTATTTTAAAAATGTTGTCTTTATTGAATTATGAAAAATATTTTTTTTCATCTTTTCAACAAAATCGTGTTTTTAATCATAACTTTTGTGAGGATTTCAATAGCACTATATTAAAAACATGACCTTTGTTTAAAATATATTAAGAAAAAATATTTTCTTAAATTTTATAAAAAATGTTAAGTTTATAAGGTAAATAACGTAGTTTATATAATTCAAATGGAGAAAAAATTTCACTTTCTCTTTGTAATCTTGATTCCTAAAAAACTTTAGGGAGAGGTAGTTTTTTATTCCCCTCACTTTCTTATTTCTTAACATTGTTAAAATATTAGAAAACCTAATAATCACATTCTTATGAATCAAACCAAAAAATCAATTTACAAAAAGTAAGATTTTAAAAAAGAAAATTACTTTCTCTCGAGCCAAACCCTTTCTTAAAAGATGTCATCTAATAGATTTCGAATTTAAGTCTTAGCACCTATAAATTTTTTTTATTCAGGATGTAGCCTACTTTGTTAGGAAAAAAAAAACTTTATATTCACGACTTAAATCACATGTAAGAGTAAAACTTTGCCTAATCATTTTTCAAAATATGGATCAACAAAACTGTTGATTACCAAATATATATAATAGTGTTCTTCTCCTGTAAAAAGATAATTACAAATAGATGTGTGCATTTTAGGATTTTGAATGTAAACTTTATTGGGAATTTTTCCCATATACAAATATAATATAGCTGTTTCCCAGTCTCACTCAAGAGTTTTAAGCAATCACATTTAAAGAAGAAACACCATTGCATTCACATTTAAAGAAGCAACACCATTGCTTCTTGTTTGGATATGATTGAAGGATTGATTCCTATTGAATTCACGAGTGATATACTCCTCTGTAACCTTTCAAAGGATAGCTGCAAGTAACACAAAACATGCATAAGCAGCCTCAATTCTTTTTTTTTTCTTTCTTTCTCTATAATTCATATTTTGAAAATCAATTTCTAACCATAATTAAACGAAAAAAAAAATGAACTGCAACGAACTTGCTTCTGCCTCTATTATTATTCTTTCTCAACATGCCAACCAAAATTGGATCGGTGAATTAGGATTGAAAAAAAAATGAGAAAAAAAAAAGAAAAGAAAAACTAATCCATATGAATGACAAATAAAGAAATTTCGATCATATGAAAATAGGTGATAGTAATTTGCAAACTTAGATGAGTGCAAACAAGTCGATAAGTGATTAATTCAGCTGCATTTAAAAAACCTAACGTGACAAATAATATGGAATCAAATTGATTCAAATTTAATAGTGCCTTATATATGGAAATAACCATTGACAACAACAAAAATTTTTTTTAAGAGTATTATCTTAGAAATTTTTAATATTTTCTTTGTGGAAAAAGTTTGACTAGTTATCTGAAAAAGAAAATTTAATAATATATAATTAAGAGCGATGAAGGTACCTTCATTTTGGACCTAAAATACGTATCAGTACTGCCTTTGGTCTGCAAGAAAAACATAAAGCTTAAGTGAAAGCTACCCTAAAAGGAAGTTAAATGCATTCCATGTACTTTTCAATAAGCTTAAAGTATAAACAACTGCATATCTTACCTTATTGATCCTGCTCAATATTGATTAAAAACTTTCTTTTGATATCCTTGAGCTTGGAAACAACATCCTTCATATCTATCCTGTCTTCTGGTAACTCGGATGAACAATCCAAAGCTAATTCCATAATTGATGATATACAATTTGCTTTAACAACAAAATATTCATCTTCTTTATGCACTAAATTGGAATCTGCTACATCAATTATTCCGTTAGATAGTGACATTTTCATCCAATGCCTCATACTCATTTCTGCCACAAAAATTTCATCTGTTGGCCTCTTTCTTGTGAAAATTTCCATTAATAAAATACCATAGCTGTACACATCACTTTTTGTAGAAATAATTCCTGCTGATCCATATTCTGTATTTTAAACATAATTGAATAAGTAAAAGATGTTATATTATCATCATCATTAAAGAAAATGGTAATGACATAATAGTTAATTAGAATAGGAAAATTTAATGAAAACATCACCTGGTGCCATATAGCCAATAGTGGCAAGTGTCATGGTTTGTTTCACACAATCTTCCTCTCCCAACAGTTTGGCAATACCAAAATCTCCCACATGTGCTACCATGTCTTCGTCTAATAAGACATTACTTGGTTTTAAGTCACAATGGACTACAGGTAATGGATGTCCCAAATGGAGGTACTCTAGTGCTGATGCAACATCTACCATTATGTTGATTCTTTGTAAGATATCCAAAAAATAATTGTAAGAATACAACCATTTCTCAAGGCTACCATTAGGCACAAATTCAAGCACTAGGGCTTTGAAGTCTATATTAGAACAACTAGTAACAACTTTGACAAGATTGCGATGAAGGATATTGCGCATCACTTCACATTCTATGTCAAAACTTCTAAATGCTCCATCTATTTGCAAATTGAAAACTTTAATTGCAACATTTGTCCCATCTGGAAGGATCCCTTTGTATACAGTGCCAAAACTTCCTGAACCAAGCAAGTTGTGTTCGTTAAATCCATTAGTCCCCTGCCATAATTGATTTTACGAAACTCTTCTCCATTGTTCTAGCGGAATTAAAGCTTTCTCAGTTACCAAAACTGCATTCCTGTTCTGCCTTTTTTTGCAGACAATAATGAAGGCTGCAATTGTTATCATTGAAGCAATTGCCGATGAAACATATGTCAAAACGTGCACAATGGTCTTCTTGGATTGCATATGAATGCTATTTTTGCAAGGTGGGACTTGCAGCCTAGGTGAACCACAGAATGCATAATTTTTGGCGAATGATTTGGCTGTGAAGTTCACAAAGGGTCCTCCACTAGGGATTTCTCCTTCCAATCTATTGAAAGACACATTAAAATAGTTTAGATCGGAAAGTCTTTCTAATGACTTGGGAATGACTCCAGAAAGATTGTTGTTAGATAAATCCAAAGTTTTTAAACTCATCAAGTCACCCATTGATTGAGGAATAGGACCTTGTAGTCTATTACTAGAAAGAGCAAGAGCTTGTAGATCACTGAGACTTCCAATCGTGGGCGGAATATTACCTGATAATAAATTCCTTGACAACTTCAAATATGTCAGTACCTTCAAATTTCCAATGTCAAGTGGAAGTGAACCGTTAAAATAGTTCGATGACAAGTCTACTTTTAAGATATCTTTAAGGCTCCAAAAGGTTGAAGGTATTACTGAATGGAATTTGTTGAAGGACAAGGATAAATGTCTTAGAGAAGTCAAATCCCCCAAACATGTCGATAGAGATCCATCAAGCTCATTAGCAGCTAACAGTAATCTGCACAATTCCTTTAAACCACAAAGCTCTGACGGGAGGGACCCTTGTAATTTATTATCATCAAGTTCCAAAACTTGGAGATTTTTTAGCCTTCCTATTGTTGCTGGAACAGATCCACTCAATTCATTCAAGGAAAGGTCTAAACGTATCATGTTGCTTAAGTTACCAATTTCAATAGGAATGTTGCCTTTAATTTTGCAATCATGGAGAATCAAATATTGAAGTGATGCAGAGAGATTTGTGATAGAAGGTAGAATAATTCCATTCAATGGATTCCACGATAGCTCTAAAACGCTTAGATACCTGCAATTTGCCAAGGGATAGAGAAAGCTCGAAGTTCCGATGCTCAAATTGTTTGACCAAAGTCGCAGCCCCTCGAGGAGTCTTAAATTGCCAAGTGAATTTGGAATATGACCATCGAATGAGTTTTCACCCATATCTATGGATCTGAGATTAGAAGCATTGGAGATAGAGTCGGGAATATTTCCAGTGAGATAATTTTGCCATAGGTAGAGCGCATCAAGATTTGGAATAGACCTCACGTTTGATAATTTACCTAAAACCAAAAAAAAGTTTGCATCATCAATATCTAAAATATATAATATATAATATATCATTAATAATGACAAAAGATCAACTTACACAATATAAAACTGAGAAAGTTTTATATATTTTTTTAATCATTAATTATAATAAATTTAAAAGATGAGAGAGATAAATAAAAAAATATTAATTTTTATCTCTTGGATATATTAAAATCAATGATTAGAAAAATATTTAATTTTTTTTTTAATTTTACACTATATAATTTGATATCTCCTTATATAATATATATAACTTTTACGTTCAATTAAGGTACATGCCTACATGGTGGATAGATGGTTTCTTCATGATATGATCATTTGCACAAACAATTAGCCTAAGAAATTAGGGTTTTGTGTATTTGTACTTTTCTTTAAATTCATATTATATCTTGATATCTATGATTAGTTATTGTTTTTCATAATTTAGCTAAATAATTAATCTACTCAGCAGGTAAAGAAATGCTACGATAAATGGAGGATTGAGGATGGACATGACTGAAGGAGTGGTTCATTTCTATTGATCCAGTTCAAATTTTATGGAACGAAGGGGATTTTGATTGGATTTTTTTTCTCCCTCAAGTTAAATTTCTAATTTAATTTGAAAAGGTTTTATACATTTGTAGAACATTTTAAAGAGACCTTATTTGTTTTTAAAAAAAAATTTTGGTTTGATAATTTTTAAATGATTATTTATTTTATCATCCTAAAATAAAACCACACAAAAAAAAAATTATGAAGAAATTACCCGACAAACTATTGTTTGAGAGATTAATTTCTTTCAAAAAAGACATGTTGAAGAGGGAAGGTGGAATTGGCCCATTTAGACGCATAGACACTGCGGAAAATATTTCCAATGCAATAAGATTTCCAATCTCTCGTGGAATTTCACCTGCAAGTATTTGTGGAAATATTGTAAAATCAAAATATTGAAAAGGAGCAACTAAACTGTATATACTTGCAAGTTAGATCAACCGTAAAAGTACGGCCTATGGCGTGACGTTATATTTAATAAACAAAATATCATAAAAACAAAAGAAAAAAAAAAAGTGGCTTAGCTTCATCTAAGGAGAGGGAAAAAAATATATATGCTCGTTAGAAAGAGAAAGGGAAATTGCTTTGAAAGTTAGTGGAAAAAAAAATGATTTCGATTTTTTGAGACCTGAAATGCAATGAAAATTTTTATCATGTGATATTAAGTAGAAAAATGATAAAGAAATTGGAATATTTTAAATAAATCAAGCAGATGATATATAAATCAATAAAATATCTTGGCTAAATATACATCAAAATAAAAAGTATGATGGTAAACTCGTACTGATTAAAAGAGTAATGGTAAATTTAAAATAATTACATAAATTGAGCGATAAATTTGCATCTTATTCATTTTTAAAATATAAAAAATTTAAGTCAAAATAAAAAAAAAAAGGATTAGAAAAATGAAAACAGAAAACAAAACCCAAATGTAAGTAATTACTCAGTAATTAAGAAATCAAATGTAAAAACCTTAGAGACATGCTTGGCAAATAAAACAATCAAATCTGTCCCATGTTGCAAGTGCAAGAATCAATCAAATCAACTTGTTTTTCATTAATATCAAAGCTTGTCCTAAGAAACGATAACATTATATTTGGTTAGAAGAAAAGAGGAAAAAAAAAAACAAAAGGAAGTGAAAAGAAAATAATGTTTTCTTTCCTTTATTTCCTTTGTTTGATAGAAGAAAAATAAGAAGAAGAAAATTTGGTGATTTGAATTTTTCCCTCTCTCCCGAATTTAATCTTTTCCAATTGAGAGGAAAACACTCTGTTCACTTAAATTCATAGTAAATTTAAAAATAGGCAATGCACAGATGATAATTTTAATTTATAATAATTTTTTAATATAATAAAATTATAAATTATAAAAAGAATTTGAAAAAAATTAAGAATATATAAAAAATAATTACATCATTTATAAATCATTATCATCTAAAAAGCAAAGCAAAAGTACGATATTCATATAGGATGAAAATGTTAAGACGGTAAATTTGGAAGAAAAACTTCTAATAAAATAGTTTTTATATGCATGGAAAGGACATCTCAATCGATATCAATGATATTGTAAATAAATTTATTAATTACACTAAACTTTAAAATTTTAGCATAAAAGTAATTATGACTTATTTTGTGAATAATTTAAAAAACAAAACAGTAATGGGTATTTAACTTGTTTGAGAAAAACAGAAAAAGCTTGAAATTTAGTCTAATAATGGTATTAAATTATATAAACTTACTAAACTCGTAGTTTTGCTAAATAGTTAAATATGATCATGAACAAAAACTTCTTTTGATACGTAGACACTCATCCGTGTCTAGAATCAATCGAAGTTTGTTTTATTGTTATTATTTTGTTATTATCATATCATTATATTATCATATTGTTACCGTACTATACTATATTATGTTGTATCATATTATTATATTATATTATTATTACTATTGTATAATTATATTATAATACATTATATTATTACTATAGTATATTACATTACTACTATTATTATTATATCATATCATATTATATTATATTATACTATACTATATTATACTATATTATATTATTATTATTATTATTATTATCATTTATTTTTGTTTTTATTTTTTTCCTTTTTTCCAATCTGCAATCATATATTTGGGAAATAGAAATCTAAATTCAATCCCCACAATCAAAGGTTTTATTTCATAATTGGGGGGTTTCGAAGATTCAATCCAAACAGATTGATGAAAACTAGCTTAAAATCTTACTTGGGCAGAATCCAATCCCAGGGTTCAAGCCTGGATTGATTTTGCCCAATCCCTAAGTTGATTAAAGACTCCTTATAAATTGAACAATGAATCGAAGAAACAGACAAGATGATTGATTTTGGAACAAAAGAGGGATTGGTAAAAAATCAAGTTGTTTTAAGTCTGAAAACGGGTTCTGGGCAGTAGGGTTACTGGAATTTTGTTTCAAAGCTATTTGGGAATTCTGGGTTTAGATCCAGAAAATTAAGATTATGGGAAGTTTCTGAAAAATTCTGAAAATTTTTTAGATTTATGAGATTTTTTAGAAAAAATTGGGTTTTTAGGGATGAACTTTGAATTTTTTTAATGAGTTTTTTGGCGAATGTTGGATTTTTCGATCAGTTTTTCAGAAATCAGTGAGTTTTTTTCTAGTTTTCAATGATGTTCTTGAGGTTTTTCTAGAGAGAAGATCAGAGGATTTTGGCTAGAGAGAAGGAGAACAGAGCATCAAGGACAAAAATGCTGAAAACTAGGTTTTATAGGGTGCCAAAATGACATCATTTTGGACAGTTAGGATCCGCGTGTGGCTCGTTGACTCGGGTACTGACCCACGCGTTGACCCAACCCAAATCACTAGTTTTTCTTTTTCTAATTTAATTTAATTTTTTATTTATTTTATATTTTGATTTTGATTTTTCTTTTTAGTTTTATTTATTTCATTTTACTGATTTTTATTAGTTATTTATTTTTATTGAATGATTTATCATTTATTAAATATTTTGCCAAAAAAATTATTTTTTTGAAAAACAAAAGAAACAATAATAATAATAATAAAAAAATAAAAAAATCTTTTTGAATCTCGCTAAACTATTGGAAGGTTTTTCATTGAATTAAATCTTATGGAATCCACCAAACTATTGAAAAATTTCATAAATCAATTTCAAAAAATAAAATTAATTTATCTTCAAACTATTAGAGGATTGCTTCGTAAATTAAGTCTTATCAAATTATTAGGAGACTTAATGAAATTCTTAAAAATGTTATAAACATTTTTGTAATAAAAATCTCACCAAATTATTGGGAGATCTACTTTAAAGTAAGTCATACCAAACAATTGGAAGACTTTAGCAATTTTTTTGAACAAAATATATTAATAAATCCAATGACGGTTCCTCTTCAGAGTGAGACATTAGTCCCCATGAATACTCATGAGGTGAGAGAATTATCTTAAATTGCTACTAAACTATTGGGATAATTTTAAGACTAATTTTCAATATTTAATTTTTGGTAAAAGCAAAAACATTTTTTCAAGGCTTGGATAATTTGCAATCAAACTAGTACCATTTTTGGATGGGTGTTGTGAGGGTGCTATAACCTTTCTCATACGTAACTGTACTCTCGAACCTAAATCTGGTTTTGTGGATCAGATTCGATCAGGTGGCCAATCACACCTTCACAAAAAAAGATTGGTGGTGACTCCTCTAATCTATGTCTAGCAGTAGGTCCACAGATTTATACGTTATGATAGTTTGATGACTCCACTAGAGACATCGAGAGTCAAGCCAGTAAACGATTTCTTATTATCCAAGCTTTGCCTAATAAATTTGAAATATATTTTTTTTATTTCTTTTCATTACTTAAGTTTATTTTAGTTATTCATTTATTTATTGTATATATTTATCATTCATTTGCATGTGCATAATATAAAGCTCTCTACCTAAGCTCTACCATTAAGAGGGAGTGAAGTACTTATGCCCTAGTGAGATTTCATGTCTTCGTATGAGCCTGCGAAACACTCCCACTCAAATTGAACCCTTTTCACTTGAAGCTTATGATAGGTAAGGATCGGGGTGCCTTACTAGTCTGTGATGGGTAATGATATAAGAAACAATTTGAGAACCTTTTAAAAGTAATCCAAGCCACATATAGTTAACCCTAAGGGTCCAAACCTAGATAAAGCCATGCCTTCCCCTCGTGTTAGAAAATCCTAAATAAGACACATGATTGGATGTTTGTTTTACTTGTAACATTATGTGTTGGTTTTTTTTTTGTATGTATATATTTGCATACTAATCCCATATGTTGGTCTTTGTATATTTTTACTAACTCTCACTTTTATCATGCATTCACATTATTAGATTTATCATAAGGAATATTTGCCATGAAATAATTTTTGATAAGAAAAATCTTAGTTATATCCATGAAAAGCCTAGCAAAGTTCTCTACTGACCTAAAAAAGGAGTCCAAAGAGTTGAAGCTTGCAAACAAAAAGCTAAAAAAGGAGGTTCAAACACTAAAACAAGAAAAGGATGGATGAAAGAGTTTGTGCAATGATCTTAATACAACAAGGTCATCTATTAATAAAGAATTGGCCCAACTTTTAGAAAAAAAAAATTATAAGCAAAAATACAAGAAAGGGACGTAATGCTCTTTGAAGGCTAAAAGCATATCTAGAAGCTAAACAAAGTAGTGGTGGGAATCAGAGCCCAAATGAGGGCCATAACCGAATAATGTGAGTAAGTGAAAGAAACATATGTGCAAAAACATAACCAGTTAAAGTCCCTACTTGATTGAATCATTGTGGCTATTTACAAAGCTAAAGACATGGTAGAAATGATTAAAAAATGAAAAACAAGGCTGCCATTAGTGGGAGCACATGGTCAAAAATTGATAAATTTCTTTAATAAAGTACAAAGCCAGTATCGACGAGTTGTGGGTTTCTTTTTTCAATGGCTTTAGACTTTTCTCAGTGATTTTAGACTTTTCTCAGTGGTTTTAGACTTTTCATGGATGTAATGTTGGATTTGGTTAAAAGTGACTTTTAATAAAGATTTTTTTTGGTAATAATTGTTATGTGGTAAATTCTCCTTATTGTATTCATGCATTTTGTCTTTGTTTTCATTTTCATACCTAATTTAAAGGTTTCAAAAGCATTATTTTAAATTTGCACATTGTGGAAATCAAAGTTTGAAGATAGCTTAACACAAGTTTTATACCCAAGCTAGAGTAAAAAAAAATGAAACAAGATAATGCAAATCATCTCAAAAGGAGAAAAAAGGCTTAGGAGATACTTGAGGGAAAATTAAGCAAGATTCTGAATATTTGGAAAAGATAAATGAAGGAAAAGAGG